TCTATTCCTCTTCTTCCTCCTCCCCTTCTGTCCTCCCACGTCTATTGAAGTTCCTATCCTCCCTTCTTCTTCTTCTTCTTCCTTCTTCTTCCTTCTTCTTCTTCTTCTTCTTGTACTACTACTACTACAAGTACTACTATTACTACTACTACCGTCTTCCCCCGAACACAACGCACCCTCATTATGAACGTATAGAGGCTAGGTTTCCGGTCCGATGCACTCAATCTTTCACTCTTCGCTCAGTAGGGGGGGGGGAAAGTCGCGGGGCTGCAAGCCATGGTTGTGCGTGAAGCCCCCTGACGATGATGGGAGCGCAGCCGACCGAAATGCGCGTCGGGGAACCTGGGGAACGTGCGCTGAAGCTGAGAACCAGTATGCACGGCTTTGTAGTGATGACCTTATGAAACCGTATACGAAAGACAGTTGGCCCCTTCTTCTTCTTCTTCTTCTTCTTCTTCTTCTTCTTCTTCTTTCGAGCTTGTTATGTCTGTGCAGGAGCTGGAAGTTTCATATCTTTCCATGCGTAGACGCTGAGCGATTGGCCTCGCTTATTCAAATTTTTATTCAAATTCTTCTTCTTGATGCAGAACAAGCACGAGGAGATATGGACATGACAAGAACGCAAATGGTTTTCTGCCATTTCGCACGGTTAAGTTGAGACTCAAGAGATGCATTCCACTCCTCCTTCTTCTTCTTCTTCTCTCTTCTTCTTCTTCTTCTTCTCTCTTCTTCTTCTTCTTCTTCTTCTTCTTCTTCTTCTTCTTCTTCTTCTTCTTCCCCAAAGTCCAAGCTCTTCGCTGTGTGGCGCAGCCAGGACATCTCTCTTTGGTTTCTTTGGTTTGCTTTCTCCCAAGTCTCCTTCCTCAAGTTCCTCGTCAGTTTGTTGATTGCTTGTCACTATTCTTTTCTTCCCCTTGAACTCCGCCTTCCTTCCGCCGTCCTTGCGCCTTCCTTCCGCCTTCCTTCCGCCGTCCTTCCGCCGTCCTTGCTGCTCCTCTGGCGAAGCCAGGCTGTCCTTCGCTTCGTTCTTCTTTCCTTACTTCTCCTCCTCCTCCTCCTCCTCCGCCTCCCTTCCGTTCCGTCCTGGCCCCACCTTTCCACCAAGTGACCCTGCGTAGTGTCCCTTTCTCCTCCTCCTCACCGTCTTCCTTCTACCTCCTCCTCCTCCTCCTCCTCCTCCTCCTCCCAACTCTCTCACCTCTCCGTCCTCCCCCCCGCTCCCGTCTTTCCTTCCCTGGGTCAGCATTTTGCTGCCGGGGCGCGCTCTCGTCAGCTTGACACGTGGCAGCGCATCCATCGCACAAAACAGGGGGCGGGTAAGGGTGAACAAAAACAAAAACAAAAACAAAAACAAAAGCATAAAAAGAGAACAAGGGAGGAATTCGATGGACAAGAGAAACACAGTAGATGGGGGCAGAGATAGGTGAGCAGGCGAGATAGCCGTGTTTCATTCGGGGAAAAAGGGCATCGTCACAGCACTCTCGAAATGTGCAAAATCAGAATGAACTTAACCCTAGATTATGGCCAGATGCGCTCGCCACATTTTGTCTTTTTCACATTTCGTGCAGTGGTGCGGCGATGCCCAAAGAAGGGGAGGGAGGATTGTTGGAATTGGATAAGGGGAGGAGAGGAGGAGGAGGGGAGGAGAAGGAGGAGAAGGAGAAGCAGGGAGATGATTATTATAAGTTATGGAAAGGGAAACCTCCAGCAGGAGGAGGAGGAAGGAGACGAAGAGCAAGATCAAGGAGTAAGCGTAGGAACAGGGAGGGGGGAGGCGGACCGGGGGAGGAGAAAGCTAACAGGAAGAGAGAGGTGGACTGGGGGCAGTGGGGCGATTCCAACACGAGAAAAAGGAGGCAATGGAAACAACAAAGGAAGGAGAAGAAAGCTTTCAAGCCAGAAAAATGGAAATACGAAATACGGAGAAAAAGGAAAAAGGAATCGACACACTAGCTCAACTCACCTCTCAACCGTGGCGCCTTCTGAAGCTCTCTCTCTCTCTCTCTCTCTCTCTCTCTCTCTCTCTCTCTATATATATATATATATATATATATATATATATATATAGTTCTATTTGACGATATATATATATATATATCAAGCTCTCAAGCTCCACCTCTCTCTCTCTCTCTCTCTCTCTCTCTCTCTCTCTCTCTCTCTCTCTCTCTCTCTCTCTATATATATATATATATATATATATCTCCCTCTCTCACTCTCTCTCTCTCTCTCTCTCTCTCTCTCTCTCTCTCTCTCTCTCTCTCTCTCTCTCTCTCTCACACACACACACACACACACACACACACACACAAGCTCTCAAGCTCTACCTCTCTTTCTGAGGTCTAGGAAGATCTCTCTCTCTCTCTCTGTGTCAAGCTCTACCTCTCTTTGTGAAGTCTAGGAAGATCTCTCTCTCTCTCTCTCTCTCTCTCTCTCTCTCTCTCTCTCTCTCTCTCTCTCTCTCTCTCTCTTCCCCCCACGCTCGCTCGCTCGCTCGCTCGCTCGCTCGCTCTGGCCCTCAGCTGCTTCTAGGCGAGTTTGTATGCGCAGAGTGAACAGTATGCACGAGCTGGCGACATCAACAACTGGGAATTATGGTTGTCGTCACCCCTATAATATGACTACGATCAGTCCGTCCCGACGGTCGAGGTCAGGGATGTGTGACGAGGACATGCAACTGAATATCTAAAAATAGTTCAAACTAATTTAAATAAAATTTAATAAACAAACTCCGACTTTTCCCCCCCAGAAAGCTGGAAAAGAACTATAAGCCACCAATAGATTGCAGCGAACTTCTGGCTTGAAAAAAGAGAAAAGAAAAACGAAAAACGAAAAACGAAAAAGAAAAAAGAAAAAAGAAAAAAGAAAAAAGATTTTTTTTTTTTTTGTATACTTTATATACCCGGAACAAATTAAATAAATAAATAAATGTGTGCTGAGCAACGTTTCGTTCTTTTCTTTACTCTTCTGTAAAGGTGGGTCCCGTGCCCAAGGCTCCCCTCGACATCTCGGTGCCCCCTGTCGAATGCGCAGGGCTGATGTTGTAGTCCTGCTCTTTTTTTTTTTTCGGCCACGTTAGAGCGTCCTCACAAAAAAAAAAAATTCCTGAATGTATCTGGCCGCAATACGGCCCACCATACATGTCTCTGACCACAATTACGGGCGGAACAGAGACGAAAATGCCCCATTTTCTTTTTTCTATTTTCTTTTTCATCTTCTGAGTGACGACCGTTCTCTCTTGGCGCGCAAGAGGATCTTGGAGGAGGGGGGTTGGGGGGTTCTTCTTCTTCTTCTTCTTCTTTTTTTTTTTTTTTTTTTTTTTTTTTTTTTT